GAGAGAGAGAGAGAGAGAGAGAGAGAATGACCCACAAGTACTCTCTTAAACACACACACGCATATTCACACATGAACACACACATACACATATACACATACACACACATGTGCATACACACTTACACACATAGCGCACACGAACACCCCCTTCCTCGCAGACACACAGCGTGCACGTTATCACATGCTCTCAATATTATTGCTCACACTCGTGTGCACACATAATAATGCTCATTCTGTGTGTACATATAACTCAATAAATATGGTGTAGCTTTGACGGTCATATTGTAAAATAATCCAAAATCATCCAAATAAGATAAAAGATGTAAGTATTTTTTCATGTGACAAAATTAAACAATGCAATATGTTTCTTTTATAGAGAGAGCATATAAGGTGATATCACAAATGTCGACCGTAAGAGGCCATGGGCTGGTAGCTGAAGATAATCGAGGTTTAACAAAACATATAAGTGAAAAATAACTTTAACAGAAAGAAACTTAAAGAAGGTTTTACAGCTAGACACAATGATTTCTTAAACATTTAATTTACACCGGTTGTTATGAATGATTAAATTGTTGTTTTGGTGGCACCGCGTTCCGTTCCTCAAAGATAGAAATCACGCTGCTTTGAAAAAAGGGCTGTTCTAAAAAAGGTTTACCATACAAATTTGCGCTTAATAATAGCATCTGAACATAAACTAAAAGGCTGCTGCAGATAAATCTGCACGTGCACCCTGTCTAAAACTCAAAACTTGCTCATAGAACAATTGGGTACCGCTTTTCAGACATACAGTTCCTTTCCCCTCTACCTCGTCATAACGGAAACTCGAATACCTTTCTTCGAAAGGACTTAAATTTTGACTCTTAGATTAATTATTTCTTTTTGTACCTGACTATTGTCACCTTCGTGCACATTCCAGAACCCTGAAACTGACCACCCCCACATACGGTGACTTGAACCATCTGGTCAGCGCCACCATGTCCGGTGTCACCACCTGCCTCCGCTTCCCCGGCCAGCTGAACGCTGACTTGAGGAAACTGGCTGTCAACATGGTGCCCTTCCCACGTCTGCATTTCTTCATGCCCGGATTCGCCCCACTGACCTCTCGTGGTAGCCAGCAGTACAGGTGAGGAACAGTAATCAGGAGTGGACACTCATTCGTATGTAATTGTGTTGCCCAGGAGTACCATAGAGGTTCAGATGACAATGATTCCTTGCTCTGTCTGTCTGTCTGTCTGTCTGTCTGTCTGTCTGTCTGTCTGTATGTCTGTCTGTCTGTCTGTCTGTCTGTCTGTCTGTCTGTCTGTCTGTCTGTCTGTCTGTCTGTCTTTTTAGCTATCATTTAACTCCGTCACATCACAGATGGAAGTCAAAAACCCGAGAACTTACTCTGTTATGATAGCATAACTGGGTTGGCAATGGGGCTAAACCAACGAAAGTTGCGTCAACATCCGCAACAATGTCTTCCAATTCAGATTGCTGTATGCTAACAAAACGTCTTAAATCGTATCTTGCTTGGACTTATACGAAATTGGAAACGAATTTCCATTTGCTTATCTGTTCATTATCCATCACCATCAACCCAACTTGTCCCTTTTTTTAATTAGATGACCTCTCCCATGTTTGAACAAAAAATGTAGCATTTCGGTAAAAACGTCTTTATGTTATCAAATGTGAGGAGATATGTGTTGTGTGTGTTTTGTTGCTTTTGTTGTTGTTGTTGTTGTTGTTATTGTTGTTGTTGTTGTTGTTGTTGTTAAGTGGCCTCCCAATGAACATTTTCTGTCTTTTCATTTTTCAGTCGTATTTAATTATAATTTCGCACTGCATAGCGCAGAAAGACTGCAAGGGATAAGGCACCATGTTATAAATACGCAATAATTTTTAGTGATGAGATGATTGTAAACTGTCTGAATGAAACCCCGTAACTCCTAACTAAACTACCTCCTCTTTCATTCCACTTCTAGAGCTCTGACTGTCCCCGAGCTGACCCAGCAGATGTTCGACGCCAAGAACATGATGGCTGCCTGCGACCCACGTCACGGCCGCTACCTCACCGTGGCCGCCATGTTCCGTGGCCGTATGTCCATGAAGGAGGTGGATGAGCAGATGCTCAACGTGCAGAACAAGAACTCCTCCTACTTCGTTGAATGGATCCCCAACAACGTGAAGACCGCCGTCTGTGACATTCCTCCTCGTGGCCTCAAGGTCAGTGGGAAAAAAAAAGATAAAGAAAATAGATAATGTCACAGGTTCTGTACAGAAAGTTTTGTCATACAATGGTGATTATAAGTCTCGTACACCCACATTGACATTGCCTAGATTATTTTAGGGGCTAATGGGGAACCGAGGCTGGATGGATTATAAAAGCATCGTAGCTGACACGCTGAAATACTAAGATGTAGTAACTCGCGCATATGAAATCAATTTGGCATTTATTTTCCTTGGTGCAACGTCCCCGCGAAAAGCTTAACCTTTTACAACACTGGCACTTGTTACCGTTCAAGGAAAAAAAAAAAGACTTAGCAAACTCATGCTAACTCTGGACTTAAAAAGTGCTTGGTAGTCATCGCATTCAAGGCCCTGTTTTGTGCTTTTTTTTTTATATTACTCACGGACACACTCCAGTGTCTATATGTGAGGCAGCGTGGTGGAATCAGGCTCTCGTCAAAATAATCAAAGTGAAGAAACTAGCATTTTTCAGCAGGTTTGTGAGTTTTTATCAAATTTTTGTTTTTTGGCTCAACACCTTCCATGCCCATTAAAGAACTCATTTCTGGGTGGATTTTTCTGAAAAACGTTGATTAAAGGCACAAAAAAATGTAAATTTTCAGTTACCACGGACTCTTTAGCTAAGAAAATAACTAATCTTTGGCGGACATTTCCTCACTAATTTTACCTCTGAAAACAGGTGACCCCCACCTCCTTCTTTCGCAAATATCTCGACTTGTATTCAAGATAAATGGATATTTTTTCCCATCCAAATAAAGACAAGTGAACAATAACTCTGCTTGTCCAAAAATTGACGAGAGCCTGGTTCCAGCACACTGCCTCACATATGTGCTGTCTGAAAAAAACTGTTAGCATCGACAATAAGATTTTAAAAAACCCAGAAAACCCCCCCAATAATAACACCTACAATAGCAGTAGTAATAGCGACAGGAACAGCCTCATTCATTTTGCATTGCTTTTATCTTCCTCAGATGTCCGCCACCTTCGTCGGCAACAGCACCGCCATCCAGGAGCTGTTCAAGCGTATCTCAGAGCAGTTCACTGGTAAGGAGACCTTCTCAGTCTGTTTTTGTATATCTACATCCCTCCCTCCCCGATTTCTCCCCCCCCC